GTCTTACTGGCTGGAGTTCCTTTGTGCTGCTTTTCAGGTGCTCTCCTGCTGACCTGTGTTCCTTCTCCAGGCTCTGGGCATCTATTGCTGGCCCTGGCATCAAACTGGTAGGTGTGGGATGGACTGAGGTTCCTCTCAATATCATATCTGCAATATGATTTCTTCCAAAAAGGACTACTGGCAAGTAATTAATATTGCAAGAAAATTAAAACCTTTTCCTCTTTTTTTTTTTAAAGGAGATACTAAGCAATTCTGTAACTGAACTCTTAGATAAAAAGCAGCATAGGCTAGGACGAGTTCACTGTTCTTAGGCAACAGCTTTAAAAACACAGAACACAGTTAAATTGTGAAAACCAGTGCCACAGGATTCTGGGCAGGGTCCAGAATAAAACAAGTTTTTAAAAAACGATTAGTATATTAAACTCTGGTTTGACTGCAGGGTCTGTCACAGGAACATTTGAAAGTACTTATTAGCGAAAGCTGGGACAATATATCTGCGCAAGGATAATGGGCTGTTCCTTCAAAGGTATTTATTACTAACTCATACCAGAAAGACAATACTGGTGTTCCAATCTGATCCAAAAGGCATTTTTCCTATTATGTTCACAATGACCAGCTTCCTAATCCTGCCAACATCCATGCAAACACTTATTTCAGCCAAATGAGTGGTCATCTGAAGTCAGAGCAAAGCACAGAGATAACAATTCGCATCAGTATTCAGCTTCAGAAAAGGTCTAGGGAAACCTGTTAGTAGGACAAGAGTCCAAAACATGGCCAAAGGTACTAAGAAAGAGGAAGGAAGACATAAAGGATATTGCTTTCTCCTGAGGCCCACCCTCTGGGTTAATCTTCAGCCTCCTTTCTGGCCTATGAAAATAACCCAAGTCTTAGCTTTCATCTTGTTTAATGACTGAACAGCTACATACATATGGCTACATGGCTTCATGTAAAAAGCGCAGACAGTGTCAAAAAGGCATTGAGTAAATCCTCTCAGTCTTTTCACCTGTTTCTTTGCTGCCAAATCCCTGAAGTCGAACAAAAGCTTCCAATTGTGCTCTATGCTTATTGACATTCAGTGTACCCTAAAAGAAAGTAACAAACCAATAAACAGAATGAAACAGTCACACCTCTAAATAGCCAACTTTAAAGTATAAAATTTTTGGTTTTACAATTATTTTTACATAAATTAGTAGTTTTTATTGATATGTAGGTTATTTTGAACACAACTTTTCTCTCTATAGGGGGAGAATGTATGATGCAGAACTTTAAGTACTCACTTCTGGAAAAGAATGGTAAGTTCTTTTAAATGCTCAGTTTCATTGCAAGATGGTAAGGGTCCTTTTATTCAAAGCACAGGCAGCGTAAGATTACTTTTGCTGCCTGCCTTAATATGGAATCTGGAGTTACTCCTACAAGAAAGAAAAACCTCAGTCTTTCTGTTCATATTCTATTCTCGCCTCGCTGCTGAAATTGTCAAGAAAGGAACAAACTACTACCTCTAATTCTTTAAATTATTTTTAAGAGAAGGACATTTGTCCACCAGCAATCCATATTAAGGCCCTGAACAGCCATAAAAAGGTAAATTAATTTCACTGACTGAGAGATCTCTGTGCAAATGAAGTAAGAAGTGCTGCCATTGTGCAGCATTATTTATATTTAAGAATGAGATCTAGCTGCTTCATATCACACCTAGTTTCTCAATTTACAGGTATATCACGCATCAACCTGAAGAAAAATCCATAGCAAATTTAAGATCCTCAATAACAAATTCTCATTTTAACTTCTCCAAGAGAAAAAAACCCCACATGTTCACAAGATGAAGTAGGGGAAATATTTTGAGAATCCTAATCCCTTCCATCCTCTTACTGTTGCTTTTTTGTTTTCTTTCCCTCTTTCCACTATAGCAATATTTCTTTATCTAATCAGTCTAATTCAGGCAACTAAAGGAACCAAGCACAAGACTGCATTGCTCTGTATATGCTCTCTATAGAGCAAATTACCTGTATGTATCTTCCAGATTTGATCCCAGCCTCCAATATTTCCACAGGTAAGTGCTCCGGATATTCTTTTCCATTGTTTTCTTGGCTTTCACTCTCCCGTTCACGGCGAGCTTGAAGTATAGAGTCAAAGAGTTCATGGGCAGCCTTTAAGTCAGGCCAAAAGTTATCCAAGTAATTCTGTATGCACATATATAAACAAACATGAAAGTATTGAGAGGTCTCTGTTCTTTTAATAATGCATTTGGAAAGCCCATAATGGACAAGAGCTGTCTCATATGCTATACTCAAATAGCACTTCCAAGTGGTAATGATGTGTCTGCTCTAAACACCACAGATTTGTTCCAGATTCAACCTAACTCATTTGCTAAATACAACAAAGGAGGCATGAATATTAAGATAGCACCCTAGACTAGAGATTCACAAACTTTTACTACCAATATACCCCATCCAGGCTACTTACTTACTTGTAAAGTGCCATAGCAGAAAAATCAAACTGGCAACCCACTATTATTTTTACACTTTTTATATGATTCTGTACACTACATTTGGGCAACTTTCCATTGCCTCGTAGCAATTAAAAAAACAAGCATCATCATTTTTATATAGCTTTAAGGTAAATCTGTTTGGTCCTTTTTTACTCAACATCCTTTCACAGCTAAACATAAACATCCCATCCGCATATCCCGCTGAATACAAGCGGTATCAGAGATCAACAACTAAATGAATTATCTTCTCATGCATCACTGTATCCTAAGTAGTCAAGGCTAAAGTAAACTGGCAGAATAATGCCGATGGATATTTAGGCTACAGCTGTTTATGGACTGCTTGCACTACAGATTTAGACAGCTGGCTGAGTTAACTGATCATTGTTCATCAATGCCAAATTCTTTAAAAACAAGGAAAACAATTAAATGGGCTCATAAGAAAGATGACCTCTATCTTTAGAGCTGCTGTTTTTCTTTTCAGTTCTCTGGTTTGCTCACTACTATCATTTTTATGACATTCCCACAACGGACATCTTTGCTTTCTTTGATAAATGAAGACATGAGTTAGCATCATAGTTTTCTTAAATGTAAACTCTGAAATTACTTGCACTATACATTGGGCTTTAATGTACTTGCTTCATCATTTTGATGCAGCATAAAGGAAACCTTCTTCTACTTTTCTGGCATGTTACCTTGAAGGAAATCACAAACACTCCTTCTGTTTCATTTCCGTACTGCCTGATAGCATCTTCATCTTCTGTTACCATAACAACTGGCATCTGACCCAAGCAGTGATTATAATACCAGACTGCTGCATTGTAAATACTCCTAGAAAAGCAAAGTCTGAAGTAAGATTTCTGGTGTATCTCATTTGCTACTTGCAAGACATTTGCAGGCTTTGTATAAACGAGATTCTGGTTTAACACGCATACTTTTGAGATATATACACCAAGCTTATATATACATATACACATAAACCTTATATCTCCAAAAATTTTTATGTGCTGTACATAAGCACCAACAGAACAGAGGAAAATAAAATGTTTCCTCCCCAATACATCCACTTGTGCCCTAGCTGCAGCATAACATATTGTTCCTCTGAGTGAAAGTTTGCAAAAAGCAAGTTGGAACTGCCAAGACTCCAATACTATGGTGTTTGCAGGCTATCAAACACTACATCTAACGGTCCAATAAGGTGTGCATGATCTATTTATTGTGCTAAAGCGTTCTTTAAAATGGCTGTGTAACTTTAAAATGATCGAGCTTTTTTTAGCATTATTGCATTTAATTAAGTACATTTTTGTCTATTTCCCTAAGAAAACAATGTTGACACTTTCTTAATCACAAAAGGACAATCTAGACTTTCAGTTTTTGTGAACTGTTCCAGAGCTAAGCAGAACAAGAGTATGAACTCTTACGTACCCAATCCATGCTAATATTCCTAAATACAATGTCACGATGTTGTCCAGCGTAGTACTACATAAGTTAAAACAAACCTGGTCTGCCATTTCTCCATGGATTCTCCCTTCTCTCTTGGCAAATAAGAATGCTGGTGGAATTCATTAGCAAACACAGTACAGTCATGACGGGCATCCTTTACTAGATTTCGCAACTTGTTGTACTGTCTGGAATACAAAAAAGATAAATATAGTCTTGTGCTTTCTTTTGATAATGCTATTTTAACTCCAGATGAACATACAACTGAAAAACTCAAGGAAAAGTACTGTCATGCACAAAGAAATGCATTCATTAAATTATACCATGTATGATAAAACCTAAAACATCATCTGTAAGCAAGCTTCTCCAATTCCCATTATGAATGCTTCTGATTTTTAAACATACTTGTTTTCCAATGAGCCCCACAAAACATCATAAGCGTTCAGGAACTTATTTTGTCACTTCTGGGACAAGACCTATTTCTTCAAAGGCGTTTGTGCTGTGCTTTAGAAATACAGGAAGACCTTGATAGCAAATTGCACTCTCATGCTATAGGGACACATAGGGTAATGTCTGGTAAGGCAAGTACCATATAATAGTATTAATTGCTCCCCAAAGACAAGTGCTCAGTCTTTAATACAGCAAACCAAAAACATGTCCATAATCGATAGTTGTGGCACATGCTATATCGTTACTGCAAAGTCTCCTTAATACCTGTCACAAACCATCTGAGTAGTTAATAATGCTACAGGTTTAATATTGCTCGTGCCAAGTGAAAACTACGACAGGCATTGATGTCCATGGATCACAAAGGATCACCGTTCTTTCCCTTCTGTAAAATTACATCAAGACTCTTGAAAGACCTAAAAACAAATTAAGCGCAGTATACTTGCTGACTTTGGGTTACTGTGCTTAAATATACATTTTACAAAGTTAGTATCTTTATTTCAATCTAAATTTAAAATATGTTATAATAGGATAAGTACCTGCGTCCTTTTTGATGTTGCACAGCTTGACATGCTGTTTGCATGAAAATAATACCTTTCAGCTCCGGAAACTCGAGAATCTCAAGGTAATCTTGAACAACTTTACAGTCAGGGACAACATAATGTGTAACATCATCCGATAACAATTTGCCATCTAAAATATAATTCAGAGTTTAAATGTTTAAACTTTCAGTTGCAATACTGGTTTCTTAAAAATACTTTCAGATGTCAGGAAATTAGAGTTGTGTATCCTCAAAGGTATACATATCTCTTTTTCTGATGAACAAAATTATGACTACTATGGTACAATTCTGTGGTACAATCTCTAAAATTTGTGACAGAACCCTTTTGCATCCACTGATGCCAAAATTTAGTGCAAATTCTACCCAAATGAGTGAAAATGATCCACTTTCATTATGAAAAGGATGTAACTTAAAGAGTGCAGGTAACAGTCCTTTTTTCTCTACTTCCATATGAAAAAAGAGACTATACATCTGCTGCAGAAAATCTTTTCATGGAATTTTCAAAGGGTGTAGAATTATGGGTACTTCTGTTACACTGCTTCCACAGATCGCTCTATTCAACACTATCCATTTACAGCAGGCTCTTTTTCTGTATCTTTACATAAAAGAATACAGGTAAGGGTACACGTGGAGAAAAGCAATGCTACTGCAAAGAGAAGATGTTCTTGAATCTAAACTATTAACCATCACTGCTAATTTTCTCTAAAGAGACTCCATCCCTTAGGAATACGCCATCAAAATACCACAACCAACCCATCACAGATGACATCTTAAAATGTACCTCAAAATTAATGAGTTTCATTGCTTTAGATATTTCAAAGATTACCCAATAAACTTTTGGGCGGGGGGGATCTCCACTGTATTTTCTCTCAATGCCTATTTATCCCTTATGATATTATAAACACTGAACTGTCCTGGTTTCAGCTGGGATAGAGTTAATTTTCTTCCTAGTAGCTGGTACAGTGCTGTGTTTTGGATTTAGGATGAGAATAATGTTGATAACACACTGATGTTTTAGTTGTTGCTAAGCAGTGCTTACACTAGTCAAGGACTTTTCAGCTTCCCATGCCCTGCCAGTGAGAAGCTGGGAGGGGGCACAGCCAGGACAGCTGACCCAAACTGGCAAAAGGGATGTTCCATACCATGGGACATCATGCTCAGTATATAAACTGGGGGGAGTTGGCGGGGGGGTGGTGACCGCTGCTCGGGGACTGGCTGGGCATCGGTCGGTGGGTTGTGAGCAATTGCACTGTGCATCACTTATTTTGTATATTCTTATCATCATTATTATTTTCCCTTCCTTTTCTGTCCTATTAAATTGTCTTTATCTCAACCCACGAATTTAACTTTTTTTTTTTCTCCCCGATTGTCTCCCCCATCCCACTGGCAGGGGGGGGGAGTGAGCGAACGGCTGGGGGGTGTTTAGCTGCCTGCCGGGTTAAACTACAACACGAACTTACCGTAGTGCAGGCAAATTGTATATAATAAAAGTATATAGATCTTGACAAGTCAGGTTATTTTCATGTATTTCTTAGAAGCTGACACAGGACAATCTGCCTATTAACTGTGATCACTAGAATTGTGAATCCAGTAGGCACAATTCTGCATACAGTAACATGGCTACATCTCACACTGAAGGCATATAATGGATGATGGCAGAACGCATACAAGAAAGCTAATATTTGTTAATAATTCAGAAGAGCATTAAAAGTGGAACGTCACTTGAAGATTTATGTAATCTGCCCATATTAAGCTATCCTTCCCTAACCTATACATCTATATCAGAATAACTTCTAAGTAGGCACAGCATACCATTACAAGTATCCGTAGATGTGATTTATGCCAGCAGTCTCTCACAGTGCATGAAGTTTGCTCAGCACACTGTTTAGAGTCAGGAATGAAAACACATGTTCACCTCACCTCTGAGTTACCTAGAATAATTACAAAGGGATATAATCTGACACTCATCTACAGCACAATTTACATTTAAGTCCAGAAGAGGGGAAGTTAGGCATGGCAGGAGAGGTAAGACTTTTTTTCTGGTATGTGCCTGTAACTTATCCCTAAGGAATTCATAACCAAATGCAATACATTAGGGAGCAGTAACTATCACTAGTCCTGACATCCTAGCTAGCAGTAATACACTACACTACCTTCTGCCCTCAATTGCCACAGGCACCTAAACCAAAAGTGAGATCTATATCAATTAGAGTTCAGAAGGAAAAAAAAAAAAAAAGAGTTAAAATTCTCAACCTTTTCTTTTAGGTAAGCAAACAATTTGGTCGATTTAAATAGGTTGGATATTATGTTCGTTATTTGCCAGTCAGTTTCTTGCACCAAATAAATTGTGCTATTTAACAACAAAAGCCCCTGAAATAGCAACCAAAGGTCAGGTGATGATCTATGATGCACATAATAGCACCACAGGATGTAAAAACAACAACAAATCGAGACATCATAGAGGCTGGCAGTCTTCCCATGTCTGAAATGGCCAGTTATAACACTGGCAATTACATTTAATTACTTAACAGAAATAACTGCTGATGCAGAATTACAATCGCTTCAAGATAATGCCTTGGCCCCATTGTAAGAATACTTAACAGGTATGTATAGAATTTAATTCATGATATAAACCACCACCCTGCAGAAAGTAATGCATTTTAAAAGATCTTTTAAAAAAGGGAATTATGAAACTTGCATTATCCTTTAGCCTATCACTGTCTGTAAACTGTTCACAGTTAAATCCTATAACAATCAACTTCTCAATTCCTTTTTCTCTTAACACCTCGTTTATTTCTGAAAGATTTTGCTGTGAAGGAGTACTTTTGCTATATCCTTGATTTGGTACCGTTTGATTTTTCCACGACTTTATACGCTGCTGTTCAGCACCGTCCGTACCCGGCTCGGGACGGCAGAGGAGAGGTCTGGGACGAGCCTCCAGCGGCCCCCACGGCTCCGGCCCTCGCACACCACACCGGCCCCCACCTCCTCCCGAGCTCTCTCCCGCCGTTATTCCTCTTTTATCCACCGCTTGTCCCGCTCGCTGCCCCCCTGCACTGCTCTCCGCACCCGCGCCAGGTCCCGCCGGGTCCTGTCAGGCCTCCCCGCCCCGGCAACCCCGCCTGTCAAGGCCGCGTGGATCACCTCTGCCCAGGGATCACCCTCTGCACCCAGCTTTGGCCTACGTGAGCTGAGGCACAACGGCACCCGGGGGCAAGCTGCCCACCGCTCCAGCTCGGCCCCCCGGCGATCCCGGGTCTGGCAGTCCTGGTCCCCCTGACTCTTCTCCCAGGAGCCCCGACCCGCAGCCTCCCGCCGTCAGCCCCCTCACCGCGAGGACAGGCGGCCCGGCACAGGGCGCTGCGGCACGGCACATCGGGGCGGATGTAGTGCTCTCGCACGACGCGCACGGAACGGCCCTGCTGGCCCCGCAGCTGCAGCACTTTCTCCGTGCGGAGCATTGCAATGGCGGAAAGCTGCAGCCCCTCAGCCAGGCCCGCTGCTCCCAGGGCGCTTGCGCATGGCGCGGGGGGTGGTGCAACCGTACGAGGCAGGGCCTCAGTGGAGGGGCGGGAAAAGGTCGGGCTGGTGGTGGGGGCGTTGCCGACGCGAGCTGAGGGACGGCTCTGAGGGATAGGCGGGATCGAGCTGAGGGAACCGGGGCCGCAGCTGAGGGGCACGCGGGAGCAAGCTGAGGGAACTGGGGGCGCAGCTGAGGGGAGACGCTGAGGGGCAGGCAGGAGTGAGCTGACGGAACCGGGGCCGCAGCTGAGAGGCAGGCGGGAGCAAGCTGAGGGAACTGGGGGCGCAGCTGAGGGGAGGCGCTGAGGGGCAGGCGGGAGCGAGCTGAGGGAATCGGAGCAGCAGCTGAGGGGAGGCGCTGAGGGAACCGGGGCGGCAGCCGAAGGGCGGCTCCGAGGGACAGGCGGGAGCGAGCTGAGGGACTCGGGGCCGCAGCTGAGAGGAGACTCTGAGGGGTTGGGGCCAGGTGCGGGCTGAGGGGGAGACCGACCATCGGCAGGTTCTGAGTCCTGGGAGAGCCCTAGCTTGTGCGGCTGGGTGAGCAGAGAGGACAGATTCGGTGAGGGGAAAACCGAGAGATTTGGGGGACAGTGGAGAAAATGCTGAAAAAGTGGCTGGGGTGTCCATGGAAGGCAAATGAGAAGAACCTGTTAGAGTCTGTTAGGCTGTAGTGGCATTAGGTTGGGGTGGTCGTAGTGAAGATATACGCGGGGGTTTTCTGTTTGTTTTTAGGCTTCCTATTACAAGGGTAGCGATGTGGTTTTTGGTGTTGAAGGCACTGGAGGATTGCAAAGAGTCCAGGGAAGAACAAGAACAGAACAAGGCTGTCTTGCTGTGCCTAAACTGTAGTCCTGCATAAATGCATGTGTGTGAACCTCCATGGTCTTTCATGGCATCTTCCAGGAGAAATCCCAGGTCCGTTCCTCAGATTATCTGGTTTTGTGTAATCGCCTGCCAGCACTCAGAGAGTTGAGGTGGGGAAGTGGGCTAGGGTGTGTGAGGAGTGCCAGCAAACCCTAATGTCAGCTAATTTACAGTAGGTACCGTTATTCTTCACATCTATGGAGGGGAAGATAAAGGCACTGAAAGATTAACTCTTGCTCAAGATCAAACAGAAAAGCAGTGGAAGGTCATGAGTCCAATGCGTTGTTTCTGGATCTGAGTCAGTGCTCTGTAAATAAGGCTGTAATGCTGTTAGTATGGCATTTGGGGGATGGTTATTTTGACTATTAAAAAAGCATTAATACTTTCTCAATTAATTGCCTACATCATAACCTCACTTGAACAAAAATACATGGTGCAAACTGTTTAGTATTTGTCCTTATGAGGAAAAAAGACTGGGAAAGAGCCAAGGCAGTATGCCACTGTATGTTCCTGTTTATTCTACTTTCTTATTTTTCACACGTTTTATAAAATGTGTATCTCCAATGACTAATACTTCTAAGTAACCAATTGGTGCCAGTAAATGGAAGTACCATCTGTAAGAAACTGATTTGCAGAAGCCAAGTTCTCAAACATATGAGGAGGAGGAGGTGTTATAACTTAGTGAGAGACGACCAAAGTGTAGGCTTGGTTTTGGTAGTCAAGATGATTTTAGACATATTATGTAAGCAGGATGTGAGAGGAAAGGGGAAATGGAGACCAAAATGATGAAGCTCTTGTTCAGTAGGAACAAAGATGAAATAACCAGTGGTGATGGAAAGGGGAGGAAAACCACAACATTTGGGAGAAAAGACATTTAATTCAGTTTGAAATGTAGTGGATGCTGATTGCTGACACAGTGAAGAACACAGACCAGTGTGCTTACTCAGTATCATCCAATGACTGCAGTAAAATGAAGGTTAATTAAATAAAAGTGACTGAGGTCACTGCTCTTACTTGTTCGCTGTTTCATAGAGAAAAATGTAAGACCTTTGGGCTAAGTTCATGCGTTGCTGATACTGTTGAGTAGCTGCATGCTTACTTGCAATATCCTAGTCAGAAAATTTTTAAAATTCTCAGTTTCCCCCCTCCCTTCCTTCCTTTCTTGGAGACCAAACTCATATGAGTAAAAGTCAAAGGTTGAGTCACTATAGGCAAAGAGAACTGTTTACACTTCATGTAACAATCGAGTTTGTCCCAATGAGATCAGAGACAAACTTCATGCTTGTCTGGTAATTAGTTTTATACATGGCAAGAAGTTTGTGCAGGGAGAGCCAAAACTGACAGGATAACAACAGCATCTTTAATTGTTTTAAAACAAAAGCTGCAAAAAATGTTCTAAGTATCAGAAGATCTCATTAATGCTGAAGAATGAAGGTGGGGTGGAGTGCAGTGCAGCTGCAGAATGATGAGACGTACATTTCTTCATGCAGTTTTCCTTCATTAAGTGCTTGAGAAACAAAAAGTGGTAGAACAGAAAGAAAGCAGTACAAATATTTTTTTCATAGAGTATTCCTTACTTCATACAGTGCTTCCTTGGATAACACCAGTGAGTGCTTGAGAAGCTTTTATTTTAAATGAGTGAGAGAAGTCTCTTTAAAGTTCAATTACATGTTTGTTCTTGCCTATGTTGGGAAGAGTGAGACTCTCAGGAGGTCTCCCTGCTTGGAAAAACATGTCAGGAGATGCAGTACAGAATTTCAACGTAGTACCTTTTGATAGAAGTTGCTCGATATTTTGGCAAATAAACATTTCAGGTCATTGGAGAATACCAGCTTTTGGCTGAAGTTCCCCAAGCTTGAAGCCTGACTCAGCTGACAAATGCCTGAAAACTGTATGACCTAAGAGACTCATTTTGAATGCAGAAGTGAAAATTTATTATGTAGATTATTAGGCATCTATATGTGGAAATGGAATGTGCACAAGGCAAAAGCAGGTATTCAAATATAGGCGTGATACATTGTTGACCATTTAATAATGTTCACCTGCTTACCAGTATTTGTAGGTTGGCACCACACAGATACATCTTTTGATACACCTCACTTTTGCCCTGGCAAAGCAACTACTGGGCTTTCTTCTTGCAAAGGATTTCTTCCTTGCGTTTGTAAAGCCTGTTATTATACCCTCCTTCCTCCCTCCTGTTGTGAGGTGCGCTGCATAGCTAAATTGGGCTTCATCAGCCAAGTTTGTGTTTAAGGTGGTGAGAGAAAAATAAATAGAAATGTATATAGCAAATTATATTCTGGTCAGCTACTGTGCTTATAAGCAGCTCTGCAGTAGACAGCCTAAAGATGGGGTTATGTAAGCTATGAGGTCTAATACAGGCTGTCTGAAGAAAAAAAGATGGAGTAACACAAACAAGAGACAGCGTATTGAAGTCTGGGATCCACACAGTCATGGAATCAATAGAAATTGTATCTTTCCATTTGAAAAAGGCCCTTTTTTTTTTTCTCTAAGAACTCGATCACTGAGGTAGAGGATACAAGATTTGATTATCCTATAGCATATCTTTGAAGTTGGTTCTTCCATTTTAAAGCAATTTTGAAGCAATTGGCAGTTCAGCATCTGTTTCTAACTCATACAAAACTGAATAAATGCTGTCTTTTCTCTTGGAGATTTCTTCTCCTGGATTGCTGGCTCAGTAAAAGCCAAATACTGTAAAAATAGTACCCACATCTAGAATGGTCTCAGGATTAATATGTCATTCCTTGCACTCATAAAAAAAGTATAATGCACAGTTCTTGCACAGTTGCACTCTGGATGCCAATACTTAGCGTCTTTTAGAGATTTAGTCTCCTTCCTACTATGCAGCAAAAATAAGCAGCTGATAAGAGAAGCTGCCTGTATTTTCTGAATGAAAGACCACTTAAAATCAAGATCAGTATCCGTGGCTCCGTTACATGTAGCTGCATTTCTGAAGTAGAATTCTTTGCCTTTGTTTGTGAGAAAGCATATAAAAACTCCCTGCATTTGTTAGCAGGAGTGACAAGATAGGTGGTAATGTCACAGCTGAAGGTCTGGGAATTTTATTCGATTAGGTCAGAATGGTCAGGTTGTCAATGAAGCTCTGTTTAACTGATGTAGCACGTGCTTTTATATTATTCTGTTTATCAGCAATATTCCCAGCTGGAAATCTCTTTCTACTTAAAGGAGCTGTTCATTATGTTTATTGTTGGAAAAAATTGACTTAATTTCTAGTCTGAATTTGCTAACTTGGTTTTTGTCTTATGATGTATTTGTAAAACTGGAAAACTCTCCCATCAAATTTCTTTTCCTCTTCTGCTTTTACGCTGTCATCTAATGACCTCTTTTGCTTTTTCTTTGATAACTTAAACAGGCTGAACTCTTTGTTTTTTATGTTTTGCAACTCTTCAATCTTTTTGTGTTTTATTTCTGAAGAGAATGCCATTGCTTAAAAACCTCATTGCGTTGCGTATGCTAGAATTGAAAACTGCACCATGGTCTGAAACAGATACTATGTAAAAATCTTCCTACTTCTTGTTCTCTTGTATATGCATCTTAGAATTAGACCTTTTTTCTTTCTTTTTTGTATTAGCATTGTGCTGAGGGCTCAGGTTCAGTTATTCATTTATCACTATTTTCAAATATTCTTAAGAGTCATTACTTCCTAGACAGGGTGCCTGCTATGTAAGCATGGCTTACATCCTTTGTTGCTTGAAGTTTAAGCTTTAATTTATATCTATATATGTTATTTGCTGGTTTTGAACTGCTTTGCAGTTTATGAAGTGATCTAGGTCAGTGGTCTGTCCTCTGTCTGGTGTGCCAGTCACAAAAACATGCAAAAGAAATCTCTACAATGACCCTAGTAGGAAATCTGAAAATAACATTTAATTATAAGACCTATTAGTTAAACTTTCCTTCCTCAATTTAATATATGCCGTACTGATTTGCAGCTTTCAAAAAGGCTGTGTATATGCTGACAAACAGCTAGTTTTCAAAAAGGTTTAAATTCCCAGCAGAATTCTTATTATAGTGGCAATATTGCTTTTACTCAACAAAACTTATCAAAGAAAGATATCAAGTTATTTTAACAAGGTCTATTTTATGCAA